ATGTATGTATGTATGTATGTATGTATGTATGTATGTATGTATGTATGTATGTATGTATGTATGTATTTTACCATTTTTGAGTTGGAAGGTATCACAAAATTCTCAATGACTGGTCCCGGGGGAAACAGTTAGTTTTGTTTCCCTTCGGCCCAGTCATTAAGTGCTTAATGTTTCTTCTTACGTCTAAGACATCGCAGACCACATCACCTGTGCATTGAACTGGGGACAGGGCATTAGGAAGTTATCCCTTCTGTTGTTTATTAATTAACAGCTGCTACTGCGAGCACTGGACGGCAACTATTAGCCGGGTACTGGGGTCAGAATATCGCCGCGGCCCGCCCGGGCAATGATAAGGAGAAGCCACTGAAAGAAGTTTGTCAGACCAGCAAGTATGACATCTTGAATGTTGCATTCCTCAACACGTTCTTCGACTCCAGAAATCAAGGTAAAATTAAAAAAAACTGAGAAAGTATTTGTAACAAACGTCGAATCTCCGTCCCTTGCTAATATTTACGAGAATCAGTTATTTGTACAATCGGCAGATTTCCCGTCAGAAAACACCCTTGAGGGGCAGTGTCACGGTATTTAAAATTATTTCTCTAACGTACAAATTTCCTCTTCCAGTGGAAGGAAGACCAGAATAATAGTTTTCTAAGGCAGAAAACGTCAGCAAATGAACATGAGTGATTATTGCGCGAGAAAATAAGATGGATTGCAAACGAAAAACTTGTAAGGGCTTGGCCAATTCTTTCGAAACAAAACGATACAAAAAAGCATTTTACAAAAATATCAAGCTTTTCGATTGTTATTTTAAACATTTACAGTCCGTTCAAAGATTTAGTTATCACAATTTATTATAGTCTGCTACGTATATTTTAGGTTACTTTTAAAATGTACATTAAAATATATTTGTATTTTTTATTTCTTTTAGATCGTTTGCCTGCCTTAAACTTTGCGGATCACTGTACTCAGAGTATCTCCAAAACAAACCCTTACCTTCTCCGTTGCCGCGAAATTGAAGAAGGAATAAAAGAATGTCAACGTCTTGGAAAGAAAGTGCTAATTTCTATCGGAGGAATAGGTGCGGATGGAACTCTTGCCTCTCCGGCAGAAGCAAGGAAGTTTGCCCAGACCTTATACAACTTGTTTCTTGGCGGAGATCGAAGAGCAAAGGAGCTTAGCCTCAGACCGTTTGGATCGTAAGCGATATTCACATAAACACCTTTCTGTATTTAATCCAGTGTAACCCAGTCAGAGTCAAAGCTGACTCTGTTATCAAAAGGAGTCCATGGGCTTATAGCTGTCCCTACTCTGAATCCTGTTTCTCTTAATCACCAACGGACGTACAAGCTAATTCATACCCCCATCGTGGTACAAGGAGGGCATAGGGGATTGGATGGAATCCCCTNCAGGCTTAAATTTCACAGCTACCTAAGGCGTGTACATAACTGCGATGATCTTAACATCATCAAAGGTCAAGGCTTCGAATCCCGTTTAACGCTGAATTTCACCATAGTAAAGGGGTCCCCTTCACGAACTATGATTTCACGGTTGCTAAAGTTGTGTGCATGTTGTTAAAAAAATGTTGTTAAATGTAAAATGTTTATAGTGGTGGACGCACTTAGCAACACCTAGCTAGTTTTCAGGCATGCCACTTAAACTGAAAGAAACAAATATTGTAAATAAACATAATAAGAGGCATAATAAGGAGGTAGACAAGTTGGCTATTTACAAGCATGATCGAGGAGTTGAACTCGGGACTAGGGGAATGGTTAAAGCGGGACGTGAATCCGCGACCACCGGATTTCAAGTCCGGCGCCCTAACCACTCGGCCACGCTGCCTCTATAACTACATAACTGCGATGGTCTTTCTTGTCTTTACATCTTTATCCGCAGTTCAAATATATCGTCTTTCCGATATCATGATATTCTGTATTTCAATCAGTTCTACCAAAACATTAAAACAACTTCAGTATAAGTTCGAGGAAGGCCAAGTACATGTATATGTTATGAATCTCATTTTGTTATTAACGGAACGTTGGTTACATTGGCAATGGCTTCGCCAATATAATACAAATTTTAAATTTTACACAAAGAGATCTGACTCACAACTCGGACACGAGTGGAATATTCCATGCCTTGTTTCAATCTGTTAGGCGGGCTGGTCCCGGCATCTTTTGCTATGTAAATTTGCTTAAAAGCTTTTATTTTGTCAAAAAAGGCTATTTTCTCTGTGAGTGGGTTCATATGGTCACGATAAGCAGGACTTTGAAGATTACGTACTATCAGCTTCAAAATACTAACCTAATCTAGCACTCGATATTTCCAGCTGCTACCTTGGTTTTGGTCGGGGTCAGTCTTTTAATATCTTTTAGAAGGTTCGTGATGGTTGATAACTGCGGCTGCTTTTGCTGTGCAAATTTGTTTACATGAGATGAGAGATCAGTTAATAGCACTTTGCATTGTGAGGAAACGTAATTATAAATAACATGCGAAAGACGTACTGAATAACGTACCTTAGTTTTTTTTATTTACTCATTGACCTACTTTTAAAACAGTACAGTGTAGAACTGATTTAAATATTGATCTCCCTTAAGTTGAAATTCAATGCTAAAATAACTTATGCTGTCATTTTCAGTAAGTCATGCATCCAGTCAGGAGGATTTTATTCTCGGTTCTAATCTGTAACGTAGGAAATGGTAAGTAAGTAATGGTGAGCCGAAACACTTTTATCTCCTAGAGTTATTGAACTTCACACAAAACAAATGCAAGGAAGACGTTAACACGACCTTTCCTCTTTGACTCTCGCATTGTGGTAAATTGTTAACGCTTGTGCCAAAAGTCACGAGGAAGATTTTAATCAGTTCAAAAAAGTCCTCTTGGTGTCTCACCTAAATGTCTGTAGTTGCTTCAAAGAAATCTGTAACAACCACTCCATCAGCCTGCGAACACAACTGCCACTCATTGGTTGACTCGTAGTCTTTAACGTCTTCCTTACAATTGTATTTATCTGCTACTAGTTGACATTAGTCGCTGGCGAGGGTGAGAGTCACCTATCACAACAATAATTTTTCTTTTCCTTTCATTTTAAGATTACATGTTATTTGGTCCGCGGATAGCAAGTGCTAATCTAGGCGGGCCACTATCAAAGCGCCCATCCTCACTTAAAGAAATTGGCGTCCGTTTTTTTATGCGTCTGTCCTCTTATTGACCATAAATTGCATCATAACATTGTCAAAGTGGCTGTGGAATCACGAGCCGCAGGTGAGTGGTTCCGCAGTAAACTTTGACAATGTTATGACAAAATTTATCATCAATAAGATGACAGACGCATAAAAAACTGACGTCAGTTAGTTTTTTACAATAACAAGACCCCAAAATGGTCAAATGCCGGGAATAAATGAGGGGAAAAGACGCCGTAAACTTGCCGTAAACAAAGATAAGTGAATTTTATTCAAAATGACGAGAACATTGTCAATAGCTTTTCTCGCTTTTTGATTGGCTACTTCAAAAAGTCCATAAAATCTCATTGGTTAAAACGTTGACAGTTTGACAGCTAAAAGTTGAACTTGAAAGCTTTCATAAATTAAAATTTTATTTGTCTGTACTCTTATTGATGATAGAAGTGAGCCAATCAGCGCGCGAGAAATTAGACAGTTATTTAAAAGGAAACTTGATGTTTATTTTGCAAAAGTATAGTCCATTAGTCAAACTTTTACCAAACTTCAAAAGCTCCGTCATTCTTCCTCGGCAAAGGAGGACAAATTAAGTGCCGATTAATAGCTTTATTTCACCGTTGGAAGTTATACTTGTGATAAGATTTGGGCAAAAGAAGTATTGAGACACTCAGGTTTAATTTTAAAATGCAATTTCAAGCCTATAAAAAATATATCCCTCTCCCCCCCTAAACAAACAGTGTTGTTATACCTCCCAACTCAAATGCGTTTTCCGATTGGAGGAGAACGTGTCAGGTGTCGTAGGTCAAAACTCACTAACTCCCCCTTGGGAGACAACAACTTGAACTTTCAACTCGCATGTGATCAGGTCGTGCTCCTTGAAACCGCGGCAAATTTGTGAGCCAGCCGGCGTCAAGCAAACGATGTCTTCGCATTTTTTTTCTATTTTTGAGTTGGAAGGTATCACAAAACATTTAATGACTGGTCCCGCGGGAAACAGTGAGGTTTGTTTCCCTTGGGGCCAGTCATTAAGTGCTTAATGTTTCTTACGTCTAAGACATCGCAGACCGCATCACCTGTGCATTGAATTGGGGGCAGGGTATTAGGAAGTTATCCCTTCTGTTGTTTATGAATTAACAGCTGCTACTTCAAGCACTGGACGGCAACTATTAGCTGGGTACTGGGGTCAGAATATCGCCGCGGTACGCCCGGGTAATGATAACGAGAAGCCACTGAAAGAAGTGTGTCAGACCAGCAAGTATGATATCTTGAATATTGCATTCCTCAGCGCGTTCTTCGACTCCGGAAATCAAGGTAAAATTAAAAAACTGAGAAAGTATTTGTAACAAACGTCGAATCTCCGTCCGTTGCTAATATTTACGAGAATCAGTTATGTGTACAATCGGCAGATTTCCCGTCAGGAAACACCCTTGAGGGGCAGTGTCACGGTATTTAAAATTATGTCTCTAACGTACAAATTTCCTTTTCCAGTGGAGGAAGACCAGAATAATAGTTTTTTAAGGCAGAAAACGTCAGCAAATGAACATGAGTGATTATTGCTCGCGAAAATAAAATGGATTGCAAACGAAAAACTTGTAAAGCTTGGCCAATTCTTTCAAAACAAAACGATACAAAAAAGCATTTTACAAAAATATCAAGCTTTTCGATTGGTATTTTAAACATTTTCAGTCCGTTCAAAAATTTAGTTATCACAATTTGTTATAGTCTACTACGTATATTTTAGGTTACTTTTAAAATGTACTTTAAAATATATTTGTATTTTTTTCTTTTAGATTCTTTGCCTGCCTTAAACTTTGCGGATCACTGTACTCGGAGTATCTCCAAAACAAACCCTTCTCTTCTCCGTTGCCCCGAAATTGAAGAAGGAATAAGAGAATGTCAACGACTTGGAAAGAAAGTGCTGATTTCTATCGCAGGAGTAGGTGCAGCTGGAACTCTTTTCTCTGTGGTTAATGCAAGGCAGTTTGCCCAGAACTTATACGACTTGTTTCTTGGCGGTGATCGAAGAACAAAGGAGCTCAGCCTCAGACCGTTTGGATCGTAAGCGCTACTCACATATACACCTTTCTGTATTTAATCCAGTGTAACCGCATGCAAGTCAGAGTCAAAGCTGGCTCTGTTATCAAAAGGAGTCCATGGGCTTATAGCTGTCCTTACTCCGAAGCCTGTTTCTCTTAATAACCAACGGACGTACAAGCTAACTCATACCCCCATCGCGGTACAAGGTGGGGGGAACCCCCCTTGGGTTTTCGTTCTGTTAAGGCACAGCGGAATAAATTTACATTGATTACATAGCCCTGGGCTTACTCTACAAGTTGATGCCATTTTTGTTGATCATGACGTCATTTGACTCGCCATCTTGGATCCTCCATCAAAAAGTCATGAATTAACGGAAATTAATACAAAATATAAAATATACAAATTCGTCAATTTCTACAGTTTGATGAATAAAACTGGAAAAACTACAGAATTATGCCAAAAAAGTTGATTTTTGGCTAAACCCACGTGAAATTTGCAGTTGCCATGGCAACGCCAAAAATGATAAGACACACAATTAACATATCAAATTTTCTGGAGAGGATCAATGAAGAGCTGTTGAAAGTTTCAGCCCCTTAGAGTAAATTGTCTTTTCAAAAATTCGAAAAAAACTTATGGGAGAGTGGCATCCCCCACTTGCACGTTCGAGAGTCTGACTGCTCAATTGCCAGCGTACAATTTTAGCCAATTCATCCAACAACCGAGACAAATTATTGACCAGGACAGATGATGGTTGGCGACTTCACTACATTTTGAAAGCCTAGAAGTAAGTTTTCAATTCTCGTTCAAAGATCAAAGATCAAAGATAAAGTATATTAGTGTAAAATTTGCCTTAGCTTCGATCCTATTGCCAGTCGTTGCAGGAGAGAAGGGAGAGAAACAGAAATCAAGCCCATATTTCAGCTGATTAATTGATTAAGATTAATAAACTTTGGTTCAATCATACACTGCATGCATCACGATTATGAAATAGTTTTAACAGCTATAGACGAAGTTACATAGGAGCTTGCAGAACAAAATATTATGATTTTTCATGATAATTTGTTTTATCCTCAAAGGGCAGTAATGGACGGTGTGGATCTCAGTATCGAAGGGGGAGGGCCTGAATTCTATCCTGATTTCATACGGGAACTACGCAGGCTCATGGATTCCGAGACAGGCGTAGCTAAGAGAAGCTATCTGATAACAGCCGCACCTCAATGTCCGTATCCTGACCATATTTTGGGACCAGAACGAAAAGGAACTGGTAAAAACCCTCTATGAAGTGCCCTAGGAACTTTTACTTTTTTCATGTTTGTTCGCCGCTAAGCGGGGCTTTTCACGGTAACGCGCGCAGTGCGATACTTATACTCAATAGTGCCTTCATGGCACGCTTCGATGGCATAGCAGGCGAGTTTGGTCGAGGCATGGTTCCAGTATTTACATCATGCCAAAATTCCCACGGCGAGACCAAACGAGCCTGATATGCTACCAAGCCTACTAAAAAAGGTACGTTAGGTATTTACCGTACCCAAAATTGGGCTAAATGACCATCAGATATAGTTTGATATCGTAGCCATATCAGGTCAGTCACTGGATATCGCAGGACACCATCGCAGTAGAGATGGCTTCTGATTGGCATATTGCGAATTTAGGTACGGTAAACGAACACCATCGTCCTAAATCTGTACTATAATACAGGGAAACGTGAAGTCAGCATTCGAACCTAATGGGACATTACGCTGGCGTTCAACGAGGCGTCTAGAAGTATTACTACTTCCAAACCTGACCCTCTAATAAAATGCAAGTAAAGCAAAGGGTTGCCCCAGCATTTAAGTCGTTGTGGCCCATTTAGATTCCTGGGGGAATAGAGGAACTATAAGTGGAGAGTCTTCCAAAGATCACTACACCATGACCCTGCCAACCAGTACATCACAAACCAGAGTCTAGTACCCAACCATTAGCAAAAAACTGATAATTATTTATGCTGTGTTGTTTCGATATCAATGTTTCAGCATAACCTTGTTTTCATTTTTATTCAGCCTTGAAGGAGGCAAGCGAGTATGTTGACTACCTCTTCGTTAAATTCTACGACGATTATTGTCACACTGGTAATCAAACGTCATTCCTTACAACATTGGACAAATGGCTGTATTTTGCGCAATCAAATAATGGGCCTCTGGTCTTTGTTGGGTTGCCAGCTCATGCTTCAGCCTCTATTGACGCCATTCAATATAGGTCACCCAAAGAATTACAAGTCATTTATGAGGTTTGTTAGCTTCATGTCATCTTTTATTTATGTTTATTGAGGATCTTCACTGGCTAAGGAAAGTATTATCGTGTTTTGATCCGGGGGTGGGGGTGGGGGGTGGGAGGGGAGGAGTACTCTCAGAAAAAATTGGTGGGCGTGTGAGGCCTGCTTCCAAAACCCTTTACTAGTATTTATGACCAAAATCTGCGATTTTCCCCGACCCTATTTGTGACCAGACCAAAAATTCGATACCCTACTTATGACCGTTGCGGCTGACAGAGTGGCCCCAAACATAACTTTTGAAGGGCTTTTGTTTATGGTCTTATCGATAATGATGGAAAAGTAGCTTCTTCCAAACAACATACCCAGTTCAAGACTAGGGTACAAAAACCATATCCTATTTAACACCAAAATGGCCGAAATCGATACTCTATTTATGACCAAAACGGCTGAAAAAACATACCCTTTGAGGCCACACATACCTATATAGACCATACATATAAAGGAGTAACCCAGGGTTCTGATGCATCATATTAATGTAGATATCAAGACTTGTCGCCTTTGGCATGACAGAGTGAAACACTGATGTATAAAACTGTGAACTGATGTATGAAACTGTAAATAGATTGACAGGACATTCTCGTTCCCAGTGCCGCAAGTTTCCAGTTCAAAACTGATTTCCTTTAGTTTGAATTCCCTTCGCTGAAGTCCGTTAGGGACTTTTGTTGAACCTTTTTTGTCTTTGCTGTTTTCAGCTGCAATGTTCAAACACATTAAAACAACCAATCTTTCAACTGAGTTTCAAAACTAGCCGTTCAATTTTTTTTTTGCAGGAGTTAAAAATAAAGCCATTCCTTGGCGGGATAATGCTGTGGGACGTCTCTTGGGACCAGAATAACATTATTGATGGGAGCAGATATTCTGACCATGTGTTCGCTCTTTTGAAAGACACCTTAATAGTGAGGCCTTCGAGCCCAGGTCAAGGAACTAAACAAGGTACTGCCATGACCCATATTAATTGAAACAAATGTACTTTTAACCGAAGGAAGGTATTCTGTAATTTTTCATGTGTT